AGCTACCACACAGGCCTCCATCCCCTCAAACTCAGAGCGACAATACTAACGATATTATAATTTGCTATGTTCATATTCCTCCATGCCATGTTTTATAGGCCTCGTTAAAAAAACAACTTACTTGCGAATAATTGTCCTATTCTTCAACGCTCCTTACTTCCCGACTCCAGCAATTTAATGCTGCGCGCACCTTGACTATACTCCTCATCGATTTTGATCAATTTAGATCTATGTTTCTTTTATTCTTTCAAAAATGACAAAGAAACCGAAGAAAACCCAACTTCATTTTTTAATCCTCTGTTCGAAAGTGTACACAACTCGAATGCGAAATTGTGTTCTTTACCCTTTTCAAAAAACGCGCGCGCGGACGCACGTTCGTACGCGATGTCCTATCCAGTCTGTGTATATGGAGATCAATGTGTAGTGCAAACATTGATCTCCATATAGACCGCTTGCAGACGCGATCGATAATTGACGCGCGAAGGTGCAAACGCCATGTTGTGGGACAAAATGTGCATGGATAGATATACGCTTGTCCCACAACATGGCGTCGCGCGCCTTCGCGCGTCTATTATCGAACGCGTCTGCAAGCGGTCTATACTGTGTATATGGAGATCAATGAGTGCAAACGAACGGAGTACGCGCGCGTGTTGGTTCTCGGGCTGAAACACGCGCTAATGTCTTACACCATTGATCTCATGTGTATATGGAGATCAATGTTTTACACACATTTTGTGCGTGTGACGTATTCACTTCGGTACTCCATAAGGTCCCATTTCCCGCAAGTTACTCGTGTTATCATAATATCACTATGTTGATAGGACACCGAGCAATGCAGAGATAGAGATGTATAATATTTGACATTTTGAATTTAATATCAGTAAAGACGAGGCAGCATTTCTTATTACACTTCTGTATTTTGATACAAAAGAAGACACTATTGGTCCTTAAAGCTATAGTCCATCATTTGCAGCAATCCGAAAAGTAACTGGCGAAATTATTGTTGAAAAACACACTTGGTTGAAAGATAGTAAGTGGACTAAACTCCCTGTGAAATTCTTTCTGGCAAGCTGTCATTTGAAGTAATCAACGAAAGAAGGCCTTTCCAACGGTGCGTCTTATTAGTGTTCATTCGTTTTGAACGTACGCAGGGCGGGCATTTACGTCTCAGCCAATGAAAAGCTTTGTTTGCCACGCTCCACCCACAGTTACCGCCCACCATGACTGTCTACTGCCTTACTTTTATTATTCAAATTGTTCGCTGTTTGTATCAATCATGATAACAATGCAAGAGGATTCCAAGTCGTTGAGCGGTACAAATATCAACACAACAAAACAACATTCTAAGTGGCAGATCGGGAACAATGAAGTGGAGTTGTATAGTGTTGTACCTATAGGCGACATATGGCGTGATGAAGAAATGCACTGGAAATGTTGTACATGTACGTGTATACGTGTATAGGACACTGTAGTGCAAAACTGAAACTCATGTTGAAATCTTTCGACAAAGTTTGTCAACCATTTTCCTATCAATAAAAGTAAACACAAACAAATGTCTGTTTCGTTGAAGCTCTATCGTATAATCTCCGATAAATAAAAACTGAAATTAACAAAATAAAAGACTTGTTATCAATTATATCACATGTATTAGGCGAAGTAAAAAAAAAAAACATGTTTAGCGTCCCCGCCAGCTTCCTTTTTAGAGGCCGCCTCCTTTTTTTTTTTTTTTTTTTGATAAATTTTAACGATCTCTGACGAAAGAAATCGTATTTTTAGACTTTTATACCGTGTATAAAGCTGTGGAAATAGTCAATGAGTCTAAGTGGTGGCCATTTTGAAAAAAGCTGGTAACCATCTTGAAAAATAGCCCGGCCGCGTTGTCTTGAAACATGTGTCGGGCGGCCATTTTGAAAAGGAAAAAAAAAAGAAAAAAAGGGCCTCCTCCTTCCTTTTTGTCAAAGAGGCAGGACGCTAAACATGTTTTTTTTTTATTTTGCCTTATAAATAAATAATTATAAATACAAGTTGGAAGGACTTGCCGAAACTTGGGTCAGCTAAGTTTGTTGATTAGTACTCTCAGGGCATTGTACTCTTCAAACAGTTTGCATACAAATATTTCTTTCCATTGGAGATTCAGTTAAGGTTAATTTTAAACGTAATGACCCAAACTTTTTTCTCAGCGTCGTTAAACATTGGTGATTTACTCTATAAACTTATGATTTACTCCATAAACCTCTTCTTTGTTTGTAAACTTATGGCGATATGCATTTAAAACAAGTGCCCTCTCCTCATCGTTGATATTCACACGGGCACATTTGTCGAACGTTCCCCATTTCGTGCCTAACTTTCGTCTTGCTTTCAGAGTGACAGTACCCGACGGTGGCCTTCAGCTTTTACAGGCATACAATGTATAAGTCTTGTTTATCTGAATACTGACTGTACCCTGCGTAAGCATTTATAATCCTACGTACCGTTTTTATTGTTCTTCTAAGTAGTGCTCGTACCCCGCCTTAGCCTTATTATTTCCTTGCATTTCGAGTGTATTGTTAATCTGAATACTGACTGTTCCCTACGTAAGCCTTTTTAATCCTACATAGTTTCTATTGTAGCGCTCGTACCCTGCCTTAGCCTTATTGTTTCCTTACGTGCCAAGTGTATTGTAAATCTGAATACTGACTGTACCCTACGTAAGCCTTTTTAATCCTACATAGTTTCTATTGTAGCGCTCGTACCCTGCCTTAGCCTTATTCTTTCCTTGCGTTTCAAGTGTATTGTTAATCTGAATACTGACTGTACCCTGCGTAAGCATTTATAATCCTATGTACCGTTTTTATTGTTGTTCTAAGTAGCGCTCGTACCCTGCCTTAGCCTTATTATTTCCTTGCGTTCCGAGTGTATTGTTAATCTGAATATTGACTGTACCCTACGTAAGCCTTTATAATGGCGTCTATAGCACTCGTACTCTGCCTTAGCCTTTTTCTTCCCTTACGTTCCAAGTGTATTGTTAATCTGAATACTGACTGTATGCTGTACCCTACATAAGCCTTCAGAATAGTTTCTATTGTAGCGCAATCTTGGCAAAGGTGCAGGCAAATACAAAATATGCCCGTGCAGAGAAAACCCATAAACAGAGTGTTAAAATAATTTCAAAGAAAAGCCAGCTCTTCGTCGAGAAAAAAATCAACAGGGGGTACACTTATCAATAACAGAAAGTAATAACATAGAAAGGAACATGATTGTGGCCACGGGATCCATGCCTAAAGGCTGTATGTACAGTAGGCTTAAATGCTGAGAGGACTCCCTGCAGTTTGAATTCATATACCTGCACTAAACTAATTACGTGCGTAATTCTGTTTGCTTTACCGACTAGATTTTGTTCAAAACACATCATGTACAATGTACATGTACTTGCAAAATTGCTTCGATAGAGAGATTCAGCAGGCATTGTGTCAGACAGCTTTCTTTGTAAGAGATCCTCTTTTGTTATTTAGATTTTTGTACCGCTCAACGAGTTTGAATCCTCTTGCATGCAGCAAATAATTTGAATAATAACAGTAAGGCTGTGGACGGTCACGGTGGGCGGTAACTGTGGATGGAGCGTGGCAAGCAAAGCTTTTCATTGGCTGAAACGTAAATGCCCGTCTTGCGTACGTTCAAAACGAATGAACACTATTTAAAGACGCACCCGTAGGAAAATTTAAATTAGTAGTTCGTTTTGTTATTCGGCGAAGCGCGCGCAAGCATTGGCACGACGCACGCTCGCGCGCGGTTGCTATGATTCGTCCATAGATATAGAATAAAAAGACTAGATCGGCAGCGCGTGCATACGCACGGCCTTGCCTGGAGGGTCACGTGCTGGAGGAAAGATACAAATTATTGCGCGCTAGACGTGACGAACGCAACGCCGTTTACGCGCACATTGCGAGTTTATTTTTTTGTTACTTGAGACCTTCAATGCTAATAATAATTTTATACACAAGAAAATAAATAAGATAACATCGTTCCCATAATGTTGAAACCCCAGTCTACTCTTGTTTATTTCAATTATATCTCTTGAGCATGGATGCTTATGATTTTGACTAGGGCCTACTTAGCAAAATTGGTTGTCTTAAAACAGGTTTACTTTGCAGAAAATAAACTGATTATCCCGTAGCCGAAATGAAAAGCGGCACGCTAATGTGTAAGCGTGCGTGAGCGCAGCGCGTAAATACTCGGTGCGCATTTCTAGCTTCGCGCGCGTTGAGCTAGGTCACGTGCTAGAGGAAATATCATACATTTAGCTCCATTACTTTACGTTAGTTTGTTGCGCGTCCACGAGAGACAACAAAAATGGCGGAGATTTATCGCACTGTGAACGGGCGCGTGTGGACGCGCTGCCGATCTAGTCTTTTTATTCTATATCTATGGATTCGTCGGATCGGTGCGCGACATCGTGTAGCTGCAATCGGCTCAGTGAGAACGTGCATGTCTCGGACGCTGAATTCAGGCCCAATTCAAAACATGATTCAGCAACTTCATCAGGTTAGTTGTTCACTATCCTTCATAAGATTCTGAACACTTTTGTTGCTTCAAACGAACAAAATGCACAAATTACAAATGATGGACTATATCTTTAAATCTGGAATAAACAAAAACAAATCGATTAACAATTTTTCAATCTAAAAATGTCTTGGCTTAAATTTAAGAGATGCTGACAATTACATATTACAATACCTCTTGTTTTTTTTCATTATGAATTGTTAATGTTTCCTGAATAACATTCAGTTTAATAGTTTGTAAGTATTTTGATGTCACATAAAATCTTGGGCCGCATGTAGTATCAAATAGTCCCACTTATCCAATGTTTTAGCTGCACAGAATTAGCAGAACATGTGCTGTGCTTGCTCCAAAGGTTACCATAGTACATTGTGTAACTTCATTGAATTAGACAATGTAAAATATCACTCATTATAATTACTCTTAAGAATTAAAAATGTTGCACTTCATATAAGCAAATAATCTATTATTATAGTAGTAAAGAAAAGACAAGATTTCTTTATACATTTCTTTAATTTGATATAAAAAGAGATGCTTTTGGTCCATACATTTAGAGTATTACAAATTTTGGTCTAAGCGTTATCATACACTGTATAATGAGTCTCCGTCTGAAATGTTACATGTTTTCGTCCAACACAGTTAAAATCCCTAAAAACTGTTTTTGACTTTTTCATTATTATATATCTAGTAAATATAGTTTCTATATTAACCGTATAGTTTATTTTACTTCTTTAGCCTGTGGCTTACAAGACATATTGTTTTCAGCACCCATATTCTCAAACTGAAACTCTTGCAACCATTCATTTTATCAAGAAGCAGGTCAGCGAAGTATCAAGGCATACCAAATCGTATGCACTTCTTAATGCAAATTACAACTAACCTATACTTTTTATTCGTGACAGCACGTGTCACATTCAATCTTTATATTTTAGAACAATGATATTAATTCCCATTATTTTGCAACAATGGAGGATGTTTGATTTTTGTTTGTTTGACTATCCTGATGCTTGAAAGCGGAGTTAAATACGAAGTACATTTTGGAAGTATTTTTTGAATTTCCAAATGAAAACTTTCAGTAAATCGTTTAGTCTAAAATCAGGATCATCTTCACTCTTTATATATTTAGCACTAAAACAGCAGCAATTTTTTTTTTAATGAGCGCAAGCGTGTGAGTTTCTGCGGCTCAGTCTATAACATCGCCTGCAAGTAAATATTAAATCAATCGGTATGCTGCCCTCAAGTGTTGAATAAGCTCCAGTTTTTCCTGCTTCGGCAGGAAGGACGCACGTGCTGCGTTCAGAGTCTGGAAAAAAATAAAACGATTTAAGAGACTTTATTTGAGTACTAAACAAGACAAATAAGGGGAATTCTTCTCAATAAAGAATAGCTTGTTTGTTTTTGTTTTGCGTATGTCCAATAGCTACAGGCTCAAAAGACTACTAGACTGCTGTGTAAACCTAAAAGTATTGACCCAAGAAATCATGAAATTTACTTTTAACCATGAGATACTTTCAATTTGTAGTTAGTTTAAGATTTCCTTCTTAAAGTTAATAAAATGTGTTGAAAAGGTAAAGCAGATAAAAAGATCGATCATTATTTTGTTTTGTACATTGATGTTTATCCAGTGGAACAATGAAGAGTATTCTCCCATGTTTGACATTGGGTAGTCGGTGCAAAGATGCCATATAGTTCGCGACGTATTACTCGAAAGTCTGACAGCTAACATGTAAGTGAGAGGTGTGCAGCAAAAGCTAGGATGTTGTAGCGTTTTCCAGCAATACATTTCTTTTGAAGATTCTTTTTATGCGCTGAAGATTTCCGGTATTTGTTTTGTTTCTCCATCACCCTAGGCTTTGACATGGGTTACGCCCACGGCTTTTAAATAGGCCATTTTCAAAAACTTTTGATCATGGTACACGGGAGATTATTGGCTCCATTTAGGGGTACTACTACAATAAAAACTGTGAACTTATTTCTGACATTATAATGCGCTGCAAAATTGCTGGTTTGGGTCGGACATCTTAATTCTTATGTCAAGCTCCATGAGCGCCCATACAGCTCCATGTGGCGGGTACAGCGTGAGTTTAGGATAATGTGAAATACGGACTCATTGGTAGTATTGCGCATGCCTAAGTATGATAATTAGGAGAGTGATTGGTCACATGAGAGGTTGTCACCAATAATAGGGTAATGGAGTCCGATTCATTTATCCATGCCATGCCATGCCATGTCATTCCATTCCATTCCATGATTCATTTATTCATTGATTGTATGAAGACTACGAACCGCTTGTACAGCCTGCTCCTCAGACAGTGCAAAGTACTTCTTAGCAATCTGGAACTCGTCATTGATGGTGTTTGCAAAGACCGTTGGATCGTCAGTGTTCAGTGAAAAGTCCATTTTATCCTGAACAAACCTAGAAATAAACCAGCAAGTGATCATATTAAACTGCCTTCTATTAAGCCCCCTATTTCAAATAATAGAAATAAATTTTGCTGCATTGTTTATAAACAATACGTTTCATTTGCCTTTAGTGTTCCATTTAAAATTGTACCCCAAGGGCGGATCGGGGGGGGGGGCAAAAGGGGGCCATGCCCCCACCCCCCCCCCCAAAAAAACGAAACAAATTGTTTGTATGTGACGTCGCAATAAAGGCAGGCAATGAGTACACCACCATCTTTTCTTCCAAAAAACATTGGTTAAAGTGGTCAGAAATTGCCGCAGATTGCACCACAGAGCATCTAGAATCCCCCCCAAATTTTGACCCACTTTTCGGGGGACCAAATATTTTTTGCTCCACCCCCCAAAAAATTGTGTTCTGGATCCACCCTTGTTGTACCCCATGCCCAATACGTTTGACGCTATATAAGCCGCTGACTACAACATGCCACACACCTTCCAAGTCTGTAAAATTAGAAGAAAAAAAACGAACGAAAAACAACAACTGACACTAAAAGTATTTTGTTTGAAGGAATTGAATGATAGATTCGATTGCGCTTTCCAGCGGTATTGGGTCGATAAGTTACGTAACAAGTTCAACAGTGAAGGATGTGCACCGGAGGCGTTGTAAATTCATATCGAGTTGGGTTTTCAACCGAGTACCAACATTCACAGTGCCTGTAGAAGATCCGTGGTCCCATTGAGATGCGAATAGGAGGATTTAGCTAATTACCTTACACATGGATGCTTCGTGAAGTCGGGGTCGCATGACCCAGTGTAGACGCTGGATGTTGGGCAAATTTCGAGGTGGATGCCCTTATCTTTCACCATCTGAAAAAGGCAGAAGCACATTTTTTTCCGCAGCCAAGTATATCATTTAGTATCATAATACGTATGCGTGGAAACTATCACGTGATTGAAATAATATATGGCATGATTTGACTTAGATTTAGATTTCGAGCGAGGTTGGGAGCGACGCCATTGCCCGGTTCCTTCCTTTTTTTACTCGGATGTAAACTCCACAGGTATAGTGTCCCATTGGCCCCGGTATTTCCCTTTCTTTAATCGTGTTTAATCAAATCCTATTTTACGATGAAATAATTGGCACCCATTATTTTCTGGTTCATCGCTCATGAGTAACTTTTTAAAGGAAATGAAAGTCCGAAAAATCACACCATTTAATCAACTGATGCATGCGCATTATGGTAGGTGAATAGTCTTTGCTGTAAAAAAAAAATGCTTATTGGAGCCTCGGCCTATTTCCTTTTTTTAATTGCTGAAATAGCCAAAATCTCAATACTTAGATTTAAGATGCGAATTGCCTACAGTTTGTTCGATGAAATAACCATGCAGAATGGCGATGTAGGCTTTAGGCAGTTATTATGTTTCCCTTACGCGCATCATTTCCAATGCTCTCCATTAGTAATGATCGATGCGCGTATGGGGAAATGCGGATGAGAAATGTCGGATACGTCACTGTTCGTGGTTATTTTATTGAGCATGCACGTTATTTGTGATTTCTACGGTCATTCCTGTGTCATCGTCCAACGCGTTGGTGTTCAAGTCTCTCATCCACAACTACGCATCATCATTAATGTCTACAATTCACATCTATGTCAGACATAATGATGTACCTGATAGACGTCATCATCGTCCACACTGTGGTAGCCATGTCCAATCCTCTCAGCCTTCAGTAACTCTATGGCTTTCTTGACATTACTGGCTGGACCATCTTCCCCTGCATGCACAGTGCGATGAATGCCACAACGCTCAGCTTCCTGTAATAATAAAAACAAAAGACGACTTGAAAAAAATACATTGGTTTACAAAACCATAGGTAGACCCAATAATGTAGATTTGGTCCGGGGTGATGATGCTTGTTGGGAATATACTGGTTCTCTTTGTGTAAACACGCAAACAGGCAAAAGTTTTGCGGTATTCGGAACGGATGACAGATAAACACGCAGGGATCGAGGCCCGAAATATAGGTGTGCTGCCCAAGGGTGATGGCTGTAACCCGCTTGGCTTGGGGTCGAGTGGAAAAGTAATCCCGCACCTCGTTCCGTTCTTGTCAAAATAATCCCGGCATGAATTGGCTAAATACATACAAATATTGGAGTTTGACTCTCATTCTCTAACCAATCATCTTGACACCTATGATAAGTTTGAAGCCGAGTCGGTCATATCAAACTTGACGAAGCAACAAAAAGAAAATACACCAAATAACAACCGAGAGTGGGGAAGTGTGCGACCTCCTATGGTGCTGTGGATCAATTTTCGTGATCCTTCCCCAATTTCCATTGAGGACATTTTAAGTAGATACTTATGTGTAGAAAATCATTGACGGAAAGCATCGACTTGGTATGTGCGTAATCACGTGTTCACTGATAACTTCCAGTCACATGACAGAATTTCATGTCACATGATGAATTTTTTTCCAATGTCTTTTTTGTCGACGCAATTGCCTTTTACCAGACACCAGTTTGTTATAAAGACTTCTAATGAAAATCAAATTACTGACACGATGGCGTCATGCCACATTTTGTGTGTAAACACTTTTTATATCTCCATGGTAAATCTAGCAATATTGCACTGTATGGTGAGTGGCATCTAAGAGGGATAAAACTTTGTTTCTATTGAATGTCCAAAAGTACAATACTAGTTTGCTAAATAAACAACACAAAAATCTCCTTATAGTACATGCCAGCGAGTCTTAACATTATGTACCTTAGCCTCCGTTAGACCACAAAATATCTCCAGCAGTACCGTGAAGGGCAAAAATAACACGTGATGTAAGTACATGTACATGGTTCTTTATAAATCCATTTTGGTTCAAATACCTGGAAAACTCTAACGATTTCTGGATGAAAAACGTGGCCTTCTGTTTCGTCTGCACGTCCACAGTCAGCTATATCAATGCCAACTACGGATGGACTGTATTCCCGGCATAGCTGCAGACATTCTGCCGCCCATCCTGCAAGGCAATAGAAATAGCGCCATCAATCAACAACTCCATGCTATTCCCGCCTTGGAGAACAGAAGGTGAAGCTTATCATTGCAATAATAGCTGTCCTAAAATTAAAGAATATAATAATAAAGAACAACCTCCAATTGAGGGCAAATTATACGAAACTGTATAGGAAAGGGGTCTGCAACTCTAAATCAATATCAAAAAGCGCTCCGTAGGGTTTTATGAAATCCAGCACCCCTCGGTTTTAAAATTCGTCACGGCTGTTTGAATTCGTCGAGGCTGAATGAGTCCCCCTACCCCACGCTAACTCCCACCCCACCCCAACCACTACCTTACCTGAGACGAGTCATGTGTGTGCCATCGCATCGGGTGGAAAAGGGTCAATGGGTAATAAAGGGGGAATTGGATGTGGCTAGGAAATATGTAGAGAGAATGTAAACTAGGGAAAGACGGAACAAAATAAAGCATTTAAATTCATTCGATTTGGGAAGCATTTTGTTACCATATAATGCGAGCCAAAAAGAAAGCGACCAGGAGTAATCAACTTTTTCCTGAAAACATTTAAATTTGATAGAAATGAAGTATTTCTTAAAAGCGCATGTTCTTCCACGCATCCCCCCCCCCAAAAAAAAAAATTAGTGAAATTGATCCATGCTATCAGAAATTATGCACGTTTTACTAAAAGAACCATTATAGCTGTCCACGGAATGCCATTGGAAGCTATTGAGCAAAGTTACAAGCAGATTACAAGCATTTAAATACGAATGAGATTTTCATCATTTAATCAGGACTTAGTTCAAGGTTATTTTTTTCCTGTCCGATACATCTGACAGGAAATAATAGCCTTTGTGTTTTGAATATGAGTAAAGTCAACCCTTTTCCCCGAAATATTAATGGGGATTTGTTTGTTGTTTTCCTTTGCAATTTCTTGTTCATCTATGGAGGTTTAAAAACGTCCATGTTTCATTGTATTTAATGGGTATTCATCAGTTCGTAGAACGGTAAATGATCAGTGATATATGGACAGCTGAATTTTGTGATCTTTTTGTTAAAAAAGACATTATTTGGGAATAGAGTACATGTAAAATACGTGAAAATACGCGAGCCACTTATTGTGTTTAACTATTTTATTATAATTCAATCACTTTTTTGATTCACCCTGTGTTTTTCTTTCTCTGAGGAGGAGATTATACACGACGATTTGAAAAAAGAAATAGGAAAGTTAGAAAAGAGAGATAGCTTACCCGGCGTTTCTCTTGCAGTGCATATGATGAGTCTGGCCTTGACATTGAAGTCCTTCTGTCCTTTGTCTAATCCCTCTACAATGCTCTGCATTACCTCGCGTGTTGATAGCGCCTTCTCCTCAACATGGCCACTGTCTGGCCCTGAGTAGACCAATAACTGGGGGCTGAATCGCGTCTCAAAGTACACAACCCCTTCCCTTGCCTTGTCTTCGCAAAGTTCGTAGGAAATACGACGAAGAGCTTCCTTGTCACCTCTAAAAATAATAACACACATTACACAATACAGGCACTTCATAAACTTTAACCAGCTTTCACTGGACCCAAAGTTGCATTAGCTAAAACTTTAAGACTCACATTAGAGGTGGCAAAAAAATCTCGAACTTCTCCAGAAACTTAGGTAGGCTTCCCAATTCAATGTGGCGTATGATACTTGTCATCTCTTCAGCTGTTGAGCCCGGCACGTCGATTCCTCGCTTCCTGTACAACAATGACAACAATTGCTAAAGTAAAACAGGACACTTTGCAACCAAACTAATAGAAAATAATAGCACCTTGGATGGAATGTCATTCTATACACTCTTCTACTTAAAGTTTCGTCATTACACTAAGTATAACACATATCAATACAAATTCATAAATATCTAAGAAAGTTTACCCACTCCTATTTGTCGAGGGCCCATCACGTGGCCGATTTTAAACAGTTAATAAAGACCGGGGCCCAATTTCTTGGCTCTTAAAGCCAGCAAAAAATCCCTGCTTACTATAGCAGAAAAATCGGTGCTTACGGTAGGTGTATTTCACGTGTTAGCGAGGATTTTGGCTTTTGCGCATTCGTGCATCCCGCATGACCGGATCCAGAACACAATTTTTTTTTGGGGGGGGGGGCCAAAAATTTGTGTCTCCCAAAAAGTGGGTCAAAAAATTACCGCGTGGGGTTCGGGACCCGAATTTTTTTTGGATTCTCGATGCTCTGTGGTGCGATCCGAGGCAATTTCTGACCACTTTAGCCAATGTTTTTTGAGGAGAAGATGGTGGTGTATTCATTGCCTGCCTTTATTGCGACGTCACATACAAAAAAAAAAAAATCAATTGGTTTCGGGTTTTTTTTTTGGGGGGGGGGGGGGCATGGCCCCCTTTGGCCCCCCCCCCGGATCCGCCCTTGGCATCCCGTAACTAAGGATTCTATACAGGGTAAGCACAGAAATTTTCTGCTGGCGCTGCTTGCACAAAATGGTGATCGTAAGCGTGGAATTCTGTGGCCCGGCTGGCTGGTCTTAAACAACTTTCCAGTGTCACATGAAATTTGGACTCCAGTGAAATCCGGTGCCTTTTCTCATTTTATTGGTTAAACGTTCACAAATAACAATTCTCACGTAAACATGCGCAATACTACCAGAGAGTCAGTATACAATACACTATACAATACACCGGAACAGCTGCGTTCTCCGCCACGCGCGCACTACGCGCGACGGGCGTGCCAATCTCCATAGAAGGAGTTGTTTACGACTACTGGCGCGGAAATGCCATAATATATCTATAGGGGTGTTTCGAAAAACATGAAGTAAACAAAATCATAGGACATTTATAATTTTTGACTTGTTTTGAGTTTTGGACCGAAAGGTTCTGATTTTTTGACCGCTCGGGTAATTATCAGCATCCAGACGCCGACCGGAATAGTGTTTAAAAACGGCCAAGCACACATTCATTCCCTCACGATAATACCGAACACCATATTCAGGAAAGCAAATGTGACGGAACTCACTTTGCAAGTTCCCAGATAGTAGATGGTCGGACGGCGCCATCCAGATGGAGATGGAGCTCCACCTGGAACAGGAAAGGAAGGACATTTGGTGAATTGTTTCCATGATCCTACAATGTACAGAGTAAAAACGGCTCCATTCTTTGAAACCACGTGCTTATATATGAATGTGGGTAATTCAAGGGGACAATTTTGCTATTTGCATCAAATCTGTATAATTACATGCATTTCATCAAATAGTCTCGTTGAGTTACGAAATTGGTCGGGGAAAAACTGTTTTTTCAAAACACTTTTTTCCCGACCAATTTTGTAACTTGTTCATTCAATCAAAAATAGTGTTCATTCCATTATTTCATGCGGTTTCTGAATCGCAGTTTAGAGTATTCGATTTCGTTTCAATGTGTGGGTTAAAATTTTTTCGTGCAAGATAATTTCATCCGGGGTGGTTACTTTTCAATTTCGCACCGACTAGGCGAATTTGCACAATAGAAGTAGACCTATTCATTGTCAACGAAGCTTCTATTGTTTTGATCTTTTCTTTTCGCTAGACGTCATTCGTATTGGCGATAGGAAAATCAGTTTCGTTCAAGGACATTTCTATGGTTTTCAAAACCAAATTCAAAACTCACGAAATTATATGCGCAAGTATATGGTTGCTGCCTGCTTCTTACGCATGAATGAAGTATAGTCAATTTTCGCTAAACTGAACCCCGTGTGCAAAAGCTTTATGCGAATTGAACAAGTTGCGAGAAAACCCATGACTTGCTGTATCTTGGCACATGATTTCTTTAAAGTAAACAATTCCAAATTCCAACTAGTCAATGAATAACTGCTTTCAAGATAGCATGAATCCACTAACAAAATAACGACGGACAGCCAGACTTAATTGCGCGTAGCCTAAGTGAAGGCAATATTTTTCAAGTCCACTTAAACTTCGTTATATCTCGCCAGGACTTATCTATAAACAGATATTAATTGTTTCTATAAATAAATTTAAGGGTTCGCTGATTTCGGTACTATGGTTCGATCTTTTGAACGTTGTTTTGGTTAGAACAGCCTGGACGGTCTCTGACGGTTTCCAGCCCGTCTCTGGTCGAATGTGCAAGGTTCGGATGATTTAAAATTATCGATTTCTGCAATGTTCTCCGGGTCCTTAAAGTAGTCCATACAAACGTTTGGTACATTTATTTTTCTCATTAGGCTCCCCGTGCGCGTCGGCAAAACGAAAAAGTTCTTTTTCAATATAAGATGATGTCTCAAAACCGCCAAACTCACTTTTTTGACTGGAATCCTGCTGCTGCACAATTCTAACGTGTTTTTTTGATGGGGTTACTTTCGAGTATAAGCTTTATATGGCCTCTCTGGGCTTCAATATATTTGGCACTGATTTTAGTCGGGCACAATTTACAGACGGTGTTGTAATTTTATAATTGTGCGTCTGGATGCCAGAATGAGGGAGCAATGGTTGTATATCTGGAATCTGTAAATAATAACAGTAATAAAGAATCTGTAAACACTTTTTATTAGCGCAATTATGTAAGGGAGCAGACTAATGACCAGCCTGGCAGCTCATGCACGATTTCAATGCCGCTGTATGGTCTAACGTTAATACTGTCACTGATTTTTGGTCTAGACTATCAACTTTCCCGAAGAATGTTCGTGTCGGTCAAGATCGTAAGTGGGTGCAGAATTCTCAAGCCTTATGGCTTTAATTACTGAGGTCACCACAAGCTCCACTCTGAATGATATTTTTGAGCGCTTTAAAGGGATTGAAGCTTCATCTGCAACATCAGCCGACATTTGATGAAAAAATTAAGAGGAAAAAAAACCGCGTCGCCGCACCACTTTTGGGCAAGTTCCACACCAAAAACCGGAGAATTTTTTGGCCTTACCTCAAATTTTACATTATATTCAGTCAACTCCATTCCATAAATGAAATTTGTGAGAGAAAGGTTAACCCAGCGGCCGTGTCATCAGCGACGCGTAACGGGAGGGGAGGCATGGCGGCCGGGCACGCACCTATTTTGTAGAATGAACTTGAACCTCACTCAAAACGTACTTCTTTGACCTTTTTACGTTTAGAATCACACTGAAAACAGAATTACAACAAGGTGTAATCAATGACGTAACATGAACTGTTTCTATAATTGTGTCGTTGTTGTGTTCTAAACACTTTGCAAACTGTAGCTCTTAATTGTATCGTGCAGCGGCATCGGATACTCGGGTACATGTATTGATTTAATACCGGTATTTCGCAGGTATTAGTCAAGCTCACGTTGGCACAATACGTCATTGTGCATTGAGCAAAATAATTCCCTCATGTCAAAACCGTCTGTCCTTTTATAGCGCCATGGTCGAAGACTTACGGTGCCCCTGACAAAGCCACCGACAACGCACCAAAGTAATGAGAGTCGTTCTTCTATTCTGTGTACAATGTATTTGGCCATTAGAAAATCATCACGCACACACTGTACAGAAAAGCGCATCGTATCCTAACGTTCTCATGGATGATCATCAACTGAACAATTGGCTTGTTATTACTCGAACCCGTGCTTCGTTCGCCACGATACAAACACTTGCCTTGTCCCAAGTCCAATGGTGTAGCTGCTGATACTGAAACAATTAACAGTTCAGTGCACAAGGCATACTGCTTTGAACAATATAACCGCCATATCGTGATTATATACGAACCTTTGGAGCTAGTTGTTGAGATTTCGATTCATCCGCCATTATGCACTCTGTACAAACCTGCACAGGAAGCTTTTATTCACATGAATGTGCGGCAGTTATTACATACAGCTTTCCTGCCGACACCGCGCTTACAATTGTCCCCAGAGGCCCACCTTTGACATACTATGTCACATACTTAATCGGCCGTTTAAAGGCGCACTTGATTGTCAAAATCATGCCACAAAATCAGAAGATATTTGTGTCGTAATTTTCAAGTTTGAATGATCAAATTAAATTCTATAAAGGCCCTAACCTTTATCATGCTGCCACCATTTCCGTCATGTTATCAATGTATCAAAAAAAAAGAAGAAAAAATGTACTGAATGATAGTATTGGAATCAGACTATTTTTCCATCCAGCCTCGCTTTGGTAATGTTGATTTGAATGGAAAAAATGCAAATGGCCGCACAATGATAATGGTCTATTGACAGAGATGTGAACGCCACATACAGTGCATGCTCTAAAGACAATCACGTGATCCCGGAAGCTAAATACACGTGACGACGTCGGTAGGGTACCGGGTACCGTGCATGGCGTGATACCGAAATTCCTTCTTGAAACTTGGAGATATTGTGCAAGCATTCATCCGATTTCGTATTACAAACTTCCAGATAAATTGCACGTTACCTGTCTGTTATGCGTTGTTTTGATTTGCAGTCAGTGGTACATGTAGAATATCACTTCAAGGTATTGTCATTTGATTGAACCTGTCATAATCTTATGGATCCGACTTTCATTTATGTGAACCACTGTAAAAGGTAACCTAAGTCAAATTATGCATTGGGCATGGGTCGCATGTGGAGTGGGAAAATACAGTCGGTTAGTTCCGGACATGGGCGTCGCGAGGGGGGGGGGGGGGCAAGGGGGGCACTTCCCCCCCCCCCGGAAAAGCAAAAAAAAAACAAAAAGAAAAAAAGATGCGCGAAGACAAAGTGTTGTAAATTTAATGGATTGGGGGGGGGGGGGCAAAATGTCCCTGCCCCCCTCTAAAACTGATACATCGAGAATGTGTTGAGAAATACAAGCATTTTTTGGCAAACATTTTTCTGCCCCCCTCTAGAAAAAATCCTGGCGACGCCCATGGAGTTCCGGATAGTGAAAATCATTCAGTCTGTACTCGGGCTGCTCTCGGTTTAACACTTTACCCTAAGTGAGGGAGATATACTACAAAATAATTTTCCAAATTTAAGCTCTTTGGGTCATATTTTGAATATGCGACGTCTACAGTACCGATGCCGCAATAGTTCCGAATAAACACTTCAGGATCGGGTTGAAATGCTGCTTCGCACTTCAAAACTAATCACTTCTAACATTTGTTTTGCAGCCAGACCCACTGAGAATCAAACAGATTTTATTTTTTGAAATGCGGCTCATTTAAAAGACTTCAATGATATTTTAAAAGAGAACTTGCATAAAATGAATGTTTACGAAACTTTCGTCTGCAGCGCGACATCAAACACGCATGGACTGAGAAAACCTTTGACCCATCACACAGATCAACACGTCACACAGAATCGACGTACGTATCATTTAGATTTTGGAAACAGTTCTTTCCAATTTTTTTTTCCATAGAAATTCCTGTAAAAAAATAGCGAACCCCCACAGGCCTGCTCCGACACCCAATTTTTGATTAGGAGGTATGTACTTATTCTGTGATATAGTGTTAATAATCGTCGGATTTGAACAGCACCCCCATTGAAATTATGGTACAAGCCCCGCCCCCTCCCCTGCTTTTTGAACTTATGGAGGACAAGTTTCAGGAGGAAAAAACGTGTCTACATTTCAGATTTTTTTGCCGTTAAAACCCCACTCTACGAAAGTTCCTAGATCCGCCCCTGACGGTCCGTGACTACACTCGCAATCCGGAACTGGGCAAAAATATACATTCAGTTGTTGGCGATTTTGTACTTATTGGAGACTCTTCAAATTGTTTTGTTTTAAAAAAAATCGATGCAAGAGTTCATACGACTGTATAGTATAGAACATTTTCGAAGTCTAAAAAACCACAATGTCCTATTTTGATCTTAAATAACTCTGTTGTTTACCAATGGAATTGACCCAAATTTCAGATCATGTAAACAAGGCATGACAAATTTTATGGAGCGAGTTTCATCAGCTTTGTGCAAGAGGTTGAGATTTACACGCCAAACGAAAAGTACTAACTTTCAGAATCTACAAATTTCGCATTAGCGTCCACTTTCGACTTGTCGATACAGCGCTGGAGACGGTAATGGAAGGCACGTGATCAGATGTACCTTTGGAACGCTAATGTGTTGTGCCAAACGATCAAGTTGTGCAATGACATCAGGGGTGGTCCTGCATTCCTTCAGAAGATTTTGCCAACAGCACGCGCCTTCCGCCACCGTCTCTCAGGGCTATTTCGACAATGGTGGAAGCCAAGTCGAAAGTGACATATTTTCAAAGTGAATTTTTATTTCATATGGCGTTTAAATCTGTCTAAGTCCCTACATTCGAAGTCCAAAGGACAATGGAGGGACCGGGAACCAGTCTAGGTTGAACACCGTTCAATGGGTCGACTCCGAACATCGGAATGCACCCTTTGCACGCTCCGCCATAAGAATGCAGAGCCTCGATCTGGCAACTTTACACAATGAATATAGACGGTTCAGTGATTCTCGTGTCGGGGTTCAGTGATTCCCCTGTACACACGAGAAACACTGAACCGGCTATATTTATTGTGTAAAGTTGCCAGATCGAGGCTCTGCATGCTTATGGCGGAGCGTGCAAAAAGCAAATTGCTTCGTCTATTAGACCCCCTTAACACAGGGTTGTGACATTTTCGCCTCCCTTGTGCAACCATAAAACTGACCAGGTCGCCGTTGGAGGCTCAAAAGGGGCCGAATGGTTGCCTAGGTCGTTCAAAGGTGGTACACAGGATGTTCAGACATCGCCATGGATGCCATGGTAGCCGTAAATTTTTGAACATAGAGGGCGCCACCAAATGTTTGAACATAGAGGGCGCCACCAAATTTTTGAACATAGAGGGCGCCACCAAGACATGAGTGAGTATTGATTCGTAACTCTCCCGATATTTCAATTAAATTCATCCCAAAATCGCCGCTTTTTGAATTAGCTAGCTCTCAAATTCCTCGTCATAACATCAACAAGATCATGGGGAATGAAACGGAGGAGAAACCTGCAGCAAAAACCCAGAGGAAAAGGGGGAAAAACACTGCGTCAGTGTCCGATCCTGCGTCATCAGCAGAGGCTACACACAATTGCTGCCAAGATGGCTGCCATGGCGCAGCAGATGTTCACCACAAACTAGACAAGATCATCAAGAGTTTAGAATCTATTGAATCTAGACTAACAACACTCGAGGTGAATTACCATAAGATCACATCGCAGGTAGATGACCACAGCAAAACCATTCTTGAGCTGCAATCTGCTGCTGAATATGCAAGCAAACGTAATGCCGAACTGGCGAGTCTCATCAAAAATCGATGCGATGGTAACCACATCTACTCATGTCAACTCGAGGATAAGATAGAAGACCTACAGAATCGTTCCCGACGTAACAACATAATCATACATGGAGTACCTGAACGATCTGAAGGGGATCAACCCTGCGAGGCCTTCGTCTCTGAATTCCTGACGCAACATATGAAATTAGAAGGTAGTGAGGATATCGAGATTGAGCGCGCCCATCGCACCCCGGCTCACCGACCAGCCACCGCGGGTACCGGAGGCCGTCAAAAGCCAAGGCCAATTCATTGCAGGCTTCTCCGGTCCACTGATCGGCAGTACGTGTTGAGGAATGCGGCCAAACTACTGAAGGGCAACCAGTACAAGGGGTCATCCATCTACATCTCTGATGATGTAATAAGCAAAGTCCGGAACTACCGCAAAAAACTTCGAAATGAAAATCTGCCATCCATACGCAAAGACGAACGTGTACAATTTGCGTACATCCCATGGTCTATCCCACCAGTCATCAAGTATAAACTGCATACAGGAGAATTCAAGACCTTCACCGGGAAGTAAATCACAGCAATACAACACATGATAATGCACACTTACATTGTAATCTCAATGTCTATATCCTACCACCTTGTTGTGTATTCATCATTATTATTATCGTTATTAGTATTATTGATCTTGTTACAGTAATTGTATCCTCAATGTGATGTACATATTACCCCTTTTTCTTTCTGGAGTGATTTGTTAAGTGTTAGCTCAACAATAATCAGGTACCAGCCATTAACACCTGGAGCAACATCTTACGTAATAATCGATATACTGCGGCCATTGAAATTTAAATTCTACTAAGGGAGAAATGTCACTACTCTTTTCACACCACTTGTTCATTCTTACATTGCGTTTGTAACTCATGTCATTTTTTGCCGTCCAATGTATTGTTTCTATGTTTGTCCGTGTGTACAGGAGTAAATTTTGTGTTATCCTGAATTTCGTCACCTAAAAATAATGTATTAAGTAAGCCTTTCCGTGTATTTTACTGTATTTTTGCAGGCCTTATAAATTATCGTAAAAATTTCCTCCAGTTTTATGAATGATAACATAGATCCCGATATAAATTTTGCAACTCAAGAAATAAATTCCGAATATTATGATCAATTATGATCATAGTTTTAGACTGGTTCAAGAGTTATTTGTCAAAAAGAAAACAGTTTGTATCATTCAATTCTGCAAAGTCTACATGCAAGACTATTACCTGTGGAGTCCCGCAAGGTTCTGTTTTAGGACCACTTCTATTCATTCTGTATATAAATGATATTTGCAGTACATCAGATGTAATTGAATTTACTTTATTTGCTGACGATACAAGTCTGGTGTATAGTCATAGTAATGTAGATGCTGCTGTAAGTAATCTTAATCATGAATTTCTCAAAATAAGCACTTGGTTGGTAGCAAATAAACTTTGTATTAATCTACTTAAATCAAATTATATCATTTTCTGTCCTAAACAAAAGAAATACGCACAAACCATTCCTTTAAATTTCAATGGTACTATCATGAAACAAGTCAAAACAACCAAATTTTTAGGTATACATATTGATGAAAACTTAAATTGGAAATTTCACATTAATACCATATCTGGCAAAATATCCAGAACTGTAGGGATTATGAATCGCCTAAAGTTTTTTGTGCCGGAAAATATCCTTATCATTCTCTATAATTCTCTGATTCTCCCTTATCTTATTTACTCGATTCTCACGTGGGGTGGTTGTTCTTCCCAATGTGAAAAACTACTAATTTTACAAAAAAGAGCAATTCGTATTATATGTAATGTCAGTTATCGTGAACACACTACTCCCTTATTTGCTGCCCTCAAGATTTTACGATTTAATGACCTTTATTACCTAAATTTAGGTAAATTCATGTATAAATATTCAAATAATTTACTCCCATATTGTTTCAACAATTTCTTTACTTTCACCTCGAATATTCATTCATATAATACTAGAAGCGTTTCAAAGCAAAACCTTTACGTTTATTCCAGTAGAACGTCAATGTTGAAAAACGGCCTTGTCCACCGGGGCATTGACTTTTGGAACAGGCTGAGTGATTCAGTTAAATCATCGTTAACTTTATCTACATTCACCAAAAAAATGAAAACTCAATTGCTTAACTCTTATAATGTCTGATGAATAATTATTTTTACTCCTGTTTGTTTTGTTATGTTCCTGTTTTGTCCCTGCGTTTTTGTCCCTATTCGTAACTTGTATGGTAATAGTAGGTATTTGTCCAAAGGTTGGGGTACAAAAGCTATGCTTCACCCTATACCTAACGTTGTTCCAGTATGTATGTTGTTGATTTATGATAAATGTTGGTTTGAATTCAATTTATATCCAGTTATAATAATGGAATTATAACATTAATTTTGTGTTTTAATGAACAACGTTGAATAAATGTCTAGCAAAATTGAAAAATTGAAAAAACATGTCCAAAACAGTCGCACAAAGGTCGCCAAGGAGGTTGGTTGCTCAAAGTTGGCTCAAATGAGCCATAAGGGAGGCACAAGCATTGCCGTGGTTGCAGAATGGATGCACAATGGTTTGCCGATGGTCGCCACTTAATTATAGATCAGTCAAGGGCGGATCCAGGGGGGGGGGGGGGGGGGAGCGGGGCAAAGGGGGCCATGACCCCCCTTAAAACGAAACTATTTTTTTTTAATGTGAAGTCGCAATAAAGGCAGGCAATGAGTACACCACCATCTTTTCCTCAAAAAACATTGGTTAAAGTGGTCAAAAATTGCTTCAGATCGCACCACAGAGCATCTAGAATCCAAACAATTTTCGGGGCCCCTTAAGCGGGCGCCCCGAACCCCACACCGTAATTTTTTTGACCCACTTTTATGGGGGACCAAAATTTATTTGGCCCCCCAAAATTGGGTTCTGGATCCGCCCTTGAGATCAGTTCTGTTGCACATTTTCCGTCCATCTCGGCGATGCTTCTGCCTCCCTTGTGCCTCCTTTGGCCGACCGATTGAACGATGACTTTGGCCACTGCTGTGCCGCAATTCGGCGTTGGTTGCCTTAGGTTGCACAAGGGGAGCACAGGGGAGGCAGGCAAGTGGCTCAGTGGACACACAGGTCGCTCGTAGCTCGACATGAAAATGCCCGAATATTGCATTTTTGGTGTTTCAAGGGAGGCACAAGGATCGCTGGAGCAGTTACATAGAAACAGGATTTTCTGGGTTTAGGCGACCATTGAGCGTCCTGGCCATTTTTGGTCGTTCATAGGTGGTACAAAGGTCGCAGCCAGTCTGTGTAAAGGGGGCGTTATTAGACGACGCCGAATTGAGAGTGATCGAAGTCGATGCGGCGGGATCATTTATGATAAATCTTACGCCATAACTTGCTGGAGTAAAGCGCCTGCTCACACGTTAACCAACCAGTGGCGGTGGAACAGTTTTGACAGGGATTGCCGGCCGCGATTTTTTTTTACCGTAGGTAGGTGCATAATTCAGTGTTCCTTTGAATCGTTGCAAGACGCTTGGGCTCTCGTTCACTTTTTTCCCCTTAAAATAAAATTATCTCAACGATAAATTTAGAGAGGCAAAATAGTCGATGAAAATGAGCAGCAACGACTTGGATTCGAACCAGGGATCTTTTTATCCATAGCTCATCTCGCTATCCACTAGGCTACTGTGGTAACTCGACGACGTCCGTACTTTAAAGTGTTTTAAAGGTATAACTGCACAGTGCAACAATGCCCTTGATATCATTGTTCTGTTTCATGAATAAATATACTGGGCCCGATCCAAACTATTGAATTATTCGTGACTTTGGAGCATACGTCTACGGAAAAGAAATCGGCGGAGGGGAGGCGCTAAACTTCATTATCTCCAGAGACAGTAGGCTGCACAACTTATTGTTTTATGTTTACCCATCATTCGATTATTCGTGACCTTGCCAAGAGGAGGGCATTCCCCCATTTGAACAAGTTTCCGTTTCCGCCGCTAGTAGAACCAACCGTATACAAAAAATCGACTGCCTTTCGTCTTTATTTATCCAAGATTAAGTATATACAAATGTGAAAATGTCAGTATGTCTCAAACCAGTGGAACGTTTGTTACACGCACACACAAAATTGTTGTCACAGTTGGGAGCTTTATATGAAACTGACTGTCAAAACGCCCTATGGGAGGGCGTTTTCGAAACGACTGGCTTTGGCTTTGGCTTCGTCTTCGGCTTAATGACATTTTAGGCCCCCGACTTCGGCGACTCCAGCTACTTTTTGGTGCCTGCAGTGGCGTAGCCAGGAATTTTTCAGGGGGGGGGGGGGTTTCTGGGGGGCTGGAACATTTCATGGGGGCGTCATGTAGATCAATCTCAGTGGGGGCGACAAGGTTTCAGGGGGGGGGGGGGCTGTCGCCCCCCACGCCCGCCCGTGGCTACGCCACTTGGTGCCTTTTATGCTTCAGGAACATTCAATTGGTTGATATGTAGACAAAAGTTGGAATGTTTTCGTTTAGTTTGCCTCTCAGTGGTTCAGAAGTAGCAGGCGAAGCCGAAGCCGAAGCCAAAGCAAAGGTTTCGAAAAACCCCCTATACGCAAAACTTTCAAAGGGATTCGGGTTTAGCGCAGTTGGCCAGAATTCCTGCAGGCCTGGGCAATGTGTGGATTGGGTTTCCTACCTGTAATTTCTTCTCTCTCTCTACAGCTAGTTTCATCAGGATTTCGATCTACAGTTCCCAAAGCACTTTTGAGGAACCTTGGTTTCATTACCAGAAATAAATGATAAATTGAAAGTCATTATTACATTAAGTAAACATTTGCACAAGCGGGAAACTCTGCATTTGGTCATCACCCTTTATTTTAACGCAAATGAATGAACAAATGACGACAGTATACATGCATTGAAGGGAATGTGACCAGGAAAAAAAGTGAAAACAAACAAATGAACCAAGCCTGCTTTTTACTGGCGTTAATTACATTTTAGGAAAGCACTATTTCAAATTAGTTTCTGTGGCTGCAGTCAAAGAAATGCCTATCTTGTTTTCGCTCTTTCTGAAATATCACTATTCCATTTTGGTAAACCGTTATACAATTTCAACTTCTGATACATCTTAATATAATACTTTCGATCACGGTGCTATTGAGGTCGATATTGTTCAATGTTGCAGCTTTGTCTCTTCCCCCAAACATAAATTGTGAGGACAGAGACATGTCATCATTCCTCTTTGGTAACCAATTGACATCGAGATTATCAAGCTTATTACAGACTATTCCAACCAACTAAGAATCGAATTCACGCTTTTTGAATTCACTTTTTTCCAATGTTCATTTTCAACACTTGTTGTGTAGTTAAAAAGATCACTTATGTGTTAAAGTTTTACTCTATGTTGTAGCATTATATACATTTTGTTTAAAGTTCATTCAATGACTGAAATAAAGCAAACTTAGAATTGCTTTGGGAAAAAGACAAAATTCTGAAGGAGTCTTGGATTCAGCATTGGATTAACGCCCATTCCACTGCACGATTGGTGACATTGAAGTACACTGTCATTGTTTTTGTTTTAACTTGCCAGTTGCTGATCATCCGAGGGGTATTAGTAAATGGTTATATTTCCCTAAAATATCAAATAATATATTCTGGATAAATTTTACACCTACCTCCTCTCCACTACCGTTTTGTTTTTCATTCCTGGTAATTTTTCTAGGCCAACATGCCTCTTTGTTGTATTCTATAATAATTGACCATATCCTTGCAGTTTATATTTGTTCGTGTTTAACTCGAAACTCTTTGTTTTCTCATCTTTTTACCAAAAAAGAGGATTTTTTTTAAAATAAAGAAACAGTAAGTAGAAAATCAATGCGTATAGGCAAAGGAACTGTATTATTGAAATATTCGTGGAAACAAAATTGAGATGTGCCAATCCTTAATTGGCTAACTGTACATGTAGGTTCCAAACATCAGCCAATGTTCTGGCTAATGCTGTAGGCATGGATAAAGCTGTAAATATATTGAATTAGCTGTAAAGCCAAAACACTGAGCAATCATATTTGGCAGTTAAAGTCACAGTCTGCAAACAAATATCAACAACCTGGTAGATTACACCTACTATACAAATCCAGCTTACAAAGTTCATAAGCGTGCACGGAGTCTTTCTCGTAACAATGAGGATTCAGTGCAGGGTATGTTGATGTCCAAATCACCCCCTCATTCCTTCACCAATAATGGTGAACTGCGATGTATGGTACCTGGACTAGGCTCTCTTCCAAAGTTTCATCAAAGTAATGAGCGACAGCTAGTTTTGTGTCACCCAACCAAAATTCGAACAATTCACCTGGCACACACCGACTAAACATACTCCCTCTCAATTTTTTCACAACATGAAAGCCGTTCTCTCTATCAATCATCCACAATGAGCCGGCACCTGTATCCTCATCACAGACAATCAATTTATTACCGCGGACACAACTCGAGTGCATCATACGTTCATAATCTCCAGCAGTCTTGGTCTCCCCAATGTACTTGCCCTCTGGGTTACAGACCCTAAGATTAGTACCCCAATCTGATGCAGCAACGAGAAACTTACCAGTGAACACACATGACCAAGTTTTGTTATCATTTTTTTCATTACAGCCTAAAGGAATGTTGAATGTCTTGCAGCACGCCCCTGATTTCACGTCATACATTTCTACTCTGTTGTCCCTATCACCAACGATGAGAGTTCCGTTGTTGAGATGGCAGTAAGTCAACGCCTCTACAAACTCACCCATCCGATGCGACGGACCTATGACATGCATGCATACACCGCTCTGTGCATTCCATAACCGAATTGTTCGGTCAACATAAACAGCGGCTACCGTTTTATCCACATAATCCACGTCTTGCGTCTTATCTTTGGAATCATCCTCTCTGCGAAAAAGAAAACGAAGGTCCCCATTTAATGAACTCCAAACTTTGATGTCACTGTCCTCAAATGTGTCCTTGCTGGCATAAAAAAGCCTAGGATCAGGACGAGCGACACTGACGATTGTGTCATCGTCAATAAACAGTTGGGATACTGCAAGTTGATGACAAGACATAACTTGCAGTTGTTGCCCTGTTTGTGTGGAGTATGTACGAATCATTCCATCTTTACAACCTACAGCTATGGTGCCATTTTTGATTTTCAAGCATTCGCTTTTGTCACAGATGTCTACGTGTATGGTGTATTTTAGTTTCCCACTGTACATATCCCACACCATGACTGTGCCATTCGAAACTCCTGCTGCTAGGTAGGTACCCTCTCCATGTAGATTATATATCTGTGAATGAGTGGGAGAATCCCATATTGTTGGACTGAACCGACCAGCACATCCCTCCGAGCCAAACTCGAAAGAGACAACGTGGTGACTATTATCCCTCCAGTTCCTTTCGAGATGATGTGCTTTCATGTAGACCGTCTTCCATTTGCACGTGTCCATCAGTCCAGGCCAGTCAGTACCACTAACAACGGTATCGAACGAGAAGTTCACATCTTTACCAACGTTCTGCTTGTCCACAGGAATGAATGCAGTGCTTTCGTCAAGATCTTCAGCTCTACCAAAGTGCCTCCATCCTTCTGCATGACAAAGAGGGCGCCACAGAGCATCATGATTGGCTGTTTCTCTCAAAGATTTACTGCACAACGCAACATGACAAAGATCTTTGGGTGTTAAATATTGCAGAACTTGAAGCAGCATCTCATTAGGAAGACTACCAAATTCCACTCGCTGAAGGGAGGATGCCATCATTCACTCACTTTGAAAGAAAGAAAAGGTAAGAAACAGATGCTTGAGGATATGAAGAGTTTATTTCCAACACAAAAGAAAAAGGGGAACATTTGGCACGGTTATGACACTATAAAGAACAAAAACAGTTTAACAGCTGTTTCTAGACTTCGCATTGCTTTATTGTAATCTTAACTTGTGCTTAAGTATACAATATGTTCCTAAAAAAGTGTCCATCTGACTATAAACCATGAAGTCATATTGGAAATTGTTAATTGTTCAGATAATTTTTTCCCTCATGCCTCACTGCACAATGGTCAATTGATCACAACAGCACTGGACACTGTGACCAAAATCAGTTTCAGTGCTTTGTTATGTAAGATGTGTAAAATCCTGCATGTTGTGAAAAGGGCTGCAGTTGGGACTGGAATCATGCATCAGTTTAATGCTCAAGGGCAAATGATTCCCGATCCCCAACAACATCAGCCCTTTTCACAACATTTTACAGAGTACATGTACATAACACGGCACTGAAATCGATTCAGGCATGGAACTTGGGCACAGTGTCCAAAAATGTTGCTGCGATCAATTGACCATTGTGCAGCGAGGCATGATGGACATTTAAACCAATAGGAGTTTGGGCATAAGATAAAGGGCATCTGCACAATTAACAATTTACAAAATGTTCATCATGGTTAAATTGTAGTTAATTTTTAAAATAGTCAGACGGCACTGTTTTGGGGACATACTGTATAACAGCCATCGAAATTGATTTTTGGCAGCAAAAGGAGAGAACAGGATTCAAAAAGGAAACACAATGGCATAGATCGCGGTTTGGCAATAATAAAGTCTTCCTTTTTGTAATTATTCGAGAGTAGGGCATGTTTCTAATATATGCACAGGATATGCGTATATGAGGCTAGCAGAAAGTGAGTACGCTACTGACAGTTCTAACCTGTTGCTGATCTCCTTTGCATACCTGATTCTGATGTTCATACCAATATCACGAGTGCGATCATTCTATTGCGGGTCGTTCCTTTAACATTAATGCTATATCAGCTTTTTATTGTCGGGTGTACACTTTGGATTTGCTCCTAGATACATCGTGTATTCGTGTAATGTGAACATTGTCAAAGAGGTTTGTTTGATCAGAGATGAATCACATGTAAATGCCTCAAATTATCCTAAAGATGATATGGCAAATTTACACAATGAACTCAATAGAAATAATACCTTATTATTGTAACTTCATCAAAACGTATGCAATTCCGATTTTTTTGGGGCAAATATCGTATCTCGGCGATATTATTGTCGTATCGTCCAGCACTATCGTGTAATGGGAAAAAACTCTCAAAGAGAAGGTCTGTCTGATCAGAGATGAATCACACGTAAATGCCTCAATTATCCTAAAGATGATATGGCAAATTTAAACAATGAACTCAATACCTTATTTTGTAACTTCACTTGAAATAAGCCAGTGACTTACAAACCTGAAAATAAAAAAACACAAAGAATTTAATTAACTCCGAGTAAACATTCTTTCTATTTAAACCCGCCGAAAACGAGAGCTACGTGCTCAGCTAAAGAGATTAACCAGTCAGTGAAATCACGCAAAGTGCACACGTGATTTTAACATTTTTGTGTTTAAATCTAAGCCTGATGGCGTTTGTGCCCATTTTTTAAAAAAAAATCACCCGACCGACAAAGAAGAACAGCTTTCATTGACTAGTTAATCTGTTTAGCTCAGCTCGCAGCTCCACCCTCGCCCCCCCCCCCGCAAACGGGAGCTACCTGCTAAATGCTGAGCAAAAACATTCTTTCGACGCCGTTAGCTCAGCACGTAGCTCGGGTTCGCCGCACACGGCGATATTTTCGCCGCGCGAGGCAAACCAAATCAAACAGGAGAGAGGGTAGCCCCATAAATGTGGCCAAGTTACTGGACTACCTCCGTAAATATAAGGCTACACTTGGAACATGTACCCAAACCAGTGGCGTAGCCACGGACGCCGTCCGGAATAGTGTTTAAAACCGGCCAAGCACACATTCATTCCCTCAAGATAAGGCCAAAAAAATAAGTCTCCGGTTTCTGGTATGCGCGCGCGTCGCCGTAGCCATGCGCGTCGGCAAAATGAAAACGTTTTATTTCAATGAAAGATGATGTCTCAAAAAACCAAACTCACTGGTTTGACTGGAATCCTGCTGCTGCACAATTTTAACGTGTTTTTAGATGGGGTTATGATTGAGAATATGCTGTATGTGGCCTCTCTGGACTCCCATATATTTGCACTAAGTTTAGTCGGGCACCATTTTGCAGTCATACGCCGACATTTGAAGCAAAAAAAAAAAAACAGGTAAAAAAAAAAAAAAGCCGCGTCGCCGCACCACTTTTTGGGCAAGCTCCATACCAGAAACCGGAGACTTTTTTGGGCCATACCTATAGCCCTACAAATGTGGCCAATTTACTGGACTGCCTCCATAAATAAAGGTCACACTTGGAACATGCAGCCATATGGCGTCATACTGTTGTTTGTTAGGCAAAGCTAAACGATTACATACTTAGACGCTATAACAGAGCAGTGAAATTCATGCACCCCAAAAACATGGCATTAGGAACGTTGTGTTTCTCAAAAAGTATGCTCAGTATGATTGGAATGTTAAAATGTGGAAAACGAAATTTTAAACTTCATGTCAGTGAAAAAATCGCTGTCATCGATGCCGAAACGTCAATACTGGTTACTGGTAAAGCTGACCTTCAAATCTGGAAGGAATCGTTCGAAAACGTCCCCAAATCTATGTATTTATATCAGTTTCTAGGAATTTACGGAAGTTGTTATTTCACGAGTAGTTGAACACGCATATCATCTAAGTATCTTCCGAATTTCAGCTTAATCTGTTTTTGCTAACGCTTGTGTTACATATTGAATCATCTCTAAGGAAAATTTCGGCGACGAATTTTAGCGACCAAACCCACATGTATGGTTTTCTTGTAGCACAGTGGGCGCCACGCTTGATCGATTTCGGCCCGGCCACACAATGGACAATCACATATTCATTAGCGTCACTCGGCGTGACTTGGCGTGGGTCTCGGTATCGATAAATGGAAGCCGGCAAAAAGGGTGATATTTATCAATTAATAACTCGTGAAGGAGGCTTTTATGCAAATGTTTACTGCACTCCATAATGGATAGGAACCTTATTAATATTTGTGAGGCTTGAAAAGATTGACAGACATTGCTAACGCCAGTGTTACAGCCTTCAAATATGCACGTAGCCAGGCCTATTTTTCCAATTTCAACGAAAAGTAAAGAACATATCACAACGATTTTTAGCACATAATTGGATCATTATAAGGGAAATAAACCCTGAAAGTTGCATGAAGATACGGTCTTCCAAACGGGAGAAATTAATTTTCAAAGATTTCGCCCGCCAACGAGAACGTGGTGTACATGTAGTTTCATTCAAAATAAAGTGTTACGTAACCTTTAGAAATCGCCCTTCGCAACCATATGGCTGCATGTACCCGAGCATGTAGAATTTTGTCAACTTTTTATTATCTTTGTAGTTTATTTATGCTTTAGAAGCACACTCACCCTCTATAAAGCGATAGACAAGTATTCCTACCTTTTTCAGACGTCTATTTTTCGTGTAATTTCATGTTGGAATTTAGATACGCTAATGTTAGCCCCATATTAATGTGGCCAATTTACTGGACTACCTCCGTAAATAAAGGCCACACTTCCACCATGTACAAAAACATGTCGAACTTTGTCAAATTTTGATTTTCACATTTAGGCTTAGTTTGTAGTTTATTTTTTGCTTTTGAAGCTACTCACCCTCTTTATAGGATAATCAGAAAGTGCTGCCTTTTTCAGATGTCTAATTTTCGTGAAATTTCATGTTGAAATTTTGATACGCAAACGTGTGCAAACGAATCTGGAAATTTTACGAAAAACAGAAATCTGAAAAAGGCAGCACTTTCTGATTAGCCTTTAAAGAGGGTGAGTATGCTTCTACAGAAAAAATAAACTACAAACTAAGCCTATATGTGAAAATCAAAATTTGACAAAGTCGACATGTTTGTATACATATTTGTATACATGGTGGAAAAACAGAACTTAAACAGTCAGCCAGCTTTTCATCTTTTTGTAAAAAACTAAAGAATATTATATTTTACTGATTTATACACCACTTAATGTATTTGCATCTCTTTATATTTTTATTACACCAAATTGATTGATCTCTGCATATTGCCTGGTCTCATTCATGCATAACATGTCCTTGTCCCCATTATTAGCTGTTTCAGTGTACACACCGAAACAGCTCTTGTTTTCGTAAGGTTTTTTTTTTTTGGATCGTGACGTCATGAGGTGTCAGGTTACGTGACATTAAAGATGCATTGTTTCCCTATTGGTTTTGTACACGTTGTTCTTCAAGCCATACACTTTTGCACTTCTATATGTCTGATTAACTTTACACTTGTCAGACACTAAGATCAGCAGCCGAAGATGGTCCCCAATGAATTCATAACGATGACGTCATCATGTGTCACCTGACATGACATTAAATGTGCATTTTTTTTCGAATCGCTATAACGTTGGAAGGGTTAAAAATTGGTATGCACATCCACAGGGATGAGTTATAGATGGAAATTGAAGTGACGTAATCATCAAATGTCATGTGGTATCCCTTAATGGGCCATTTTATTCTTTTATAGGCCTATAATACAGAACTCGTGTTGGGAAGCTTAGCGAGGTCATTTTGTTGCCAATAAGAAAGGAGTACGTGATTGAATGGCTTTTCCGTCTGACGACCATAATTCGTTCGGTCATAACTCCGAGTCACGGAAAGTGTCTTGATTCACGTTTTCGTAACATGGCGCCTCCCAGTACATACATCTCATTCCTCTCGGTTGTTAAATAAACCTCCTGTTGAAGTTAGAAGACAGAATCTCTTGTGACTGCATCCTTGAAGTTACTACACTGCAAAATGGGTTCTTTATCATGAATTACCCCTGATAGCATGGATCGATCACTTTCAATCAATTCTTCGAACAAACGTTTGTATATTATATGGTGTAAATCGATGATTGCCTATTGTTCCCCACCATCGATCTGCATACCAACTAATTGAACTATTAATTAAACTATTAAACAGATGCTAGACATTTGACAACAATGATGAACAATACATTTTGGATGAATAAAGAACCATGTGTATCCGAGGGCTTCGTTTGAAGGTATCTTTCTGGTGATTGAAATGTATTTGCCACGCGCTGATCACCTGGACGGGCTTGGGGGGTTCTAATAGTCCAACTGTAAAACAACATTGGGCCAACGATATCATTAAAGTTGGCCCGATGTTCATGGGCATTGGCCCAACATCCCACCAACGTTTGACCGACATGTAAGTTCCTAATTAATACGGTGGCCCAATGAACACCCAACAGTGTGTGCCAGCGTTGAAAACCAAACATTGGGCCAACAGTAAAATAGTGAAGTTGGCCAAACCGCAAAAGTACCATAGGGCCAATTGCACAATTAAGGTTGGGCCAAGATTGGTAATTCCCATTGGCCCAACATTCTGCCTGCACAGGGGCCACCCTAGCCCCATAAATGTGGCCTATTTACTGGACTGCCTCCGTAAACATAGGCCACACATCCACATGTACAAAAATCGTGTCGACTTTGCCAAATTTTGATTTTCACATTTAGGCTTAGTTTGTAGGATTTTTTTTGCTTTAGAAGCATACTCACCCTCTTTATAGGCTAGTCAGAAAGTGCTGCCTTTTTCAGATGTCTAATTTTTGTGAAATTTCATGTTGAAATTTTGATACGCAAACGTGTAAAAATGAATCTGGAAATTTCACGAAAAATATACATCTGAAAAAAGGCAGCACTTTCTGATTAGCCTATAAAGAGGGTGAGTATGCTTCTAAAGCAAAAAAAACCCTACAAACTAAGCCTAAATGTGAAAATCAAAATTTGGCAAAGTCGACACGATTTTTGTACATGTGGATGTGTGGCCTATGTTTACGGAGGCAGTCCAGTAAATAGGCCACATTTATGGGGCTAGGCCAACGTGGGCAGCCATTATTGGGCCAACCCTAAAAGCCTTATGTTGGCCCAACATGACCTTGCTATCTAGTTGAGATTGCACACTGATGGCAAAATAGAGTAAGGAGGTATAGTACCGGTTACGGCAAAATATCCACTATCTTCTTGTTACAACTTTTCATCACTACTTATACGGGCAAGATTGGACAACAGTTTAAATTAACTAATTAAACTAATTTATACAGGAATTTGTTGTACAAAATGCAAGGAAAAGGGAAGAATGTTATAACCTGACGCTACTACAGCGGTTGTGTACAAAGTCTATGGAGAGTCAAGAAATGTTCTAAATACATGTATTTCCTAACAAATTGGAAATGTTCGTTTCTCAGTCCCAGATTCATGTCTTATCATCCTTTTTTGCAATAACTGACCTTTACTGAGATGATATATGACGGAAAAAACAGCGTCAGGGTGCAACATTCTTTCCGGTAAAAGCACCATAGCTCTTCTCCAACCCAGGGGAATTTAACTCAGTTACCCTGCACTACATATATAACTTACGTGGTGCAATGCTTTCCCTATAGCCTAGCCACGCCCAGGCAAACCCTGCACAGATCTACACAGCCCTCCACAGACAACCTGTACCCAAGCACAGCACCAAGCAGACTGCACATAGCTATTTCAAATTCCAGGCACATGGGGCTAACAATAGCAATTATGTAACTGCATGCCTGGCTGGCCTGATACACACTCAGATTAGGGGTGTGCAGGGGCGTAGCACGGTCTCTTTTAATTGGGGGGGGGGTTACAATTTTTTTGAAAAGGGCACTTGCACATCCGTGGTGAAATGAGTTTGTCTACCCGTTACAAAGTTTGCCCCCCCCAAAAAAAATTGCCGTGATTTTCCGATTTTTTTTTCGAAGTGCACAGTCACGGATCCTACACACAAGGATTAACGACTCGGCCCAACGCCTGGTTAGACGCGTGATAATGGCCTGTACTGGTGGCAAATACCACGAATACTTTTCAACAAATACCACTGCGCGCAGTGGCTTTCAGATTTGCAAGGCTCTTCGCCCGATCTGGCCTCGAAGTCTGTCAAGCCAGCGAATTATATTTTTGAATATTCATGAGTCTACGTTTTTGGTCTTTATTATTGAATTCTGATAAGCGATAACTACATAACCATGGTAATGCCGAGCACGATATCTTTAGCTTTAAGATGAACAATGAAATGTCGCTTTTGTTTCATCAGTTCGGCATCCTATCTCTCTAAAACTTTTTAATAAAAGCCTAATTAAAAACAAAATTTGGGTAAACGGTAGTTCTCCTCGAAATTTGACGTTTATTTCCCGGGTAAATACTTCATCTATGACGACAAAAACTGCTCAATACCATCTGTTATATCCTGAAGTATTTATTTTAAAAGTAATTTGGAACAATTATATCTTAAACTAGAGATTCGCGTTTGTTGTTACAAACGCAGAGTGGTCGGGTAGACAACTACTTTATAAAACACTGTCCAGGTAAGTTATAAATATTAGTATGTAAGAACAAAGAATCACGAAATTAAATCCTTTCCAGGACAGTCAATTATTTTGTTTAAAAATACATCTTTAACGGTGTGATAAATTTCAGTAAACATTCTACATACACATACAAGTTATTTCTGGCTTAGTCATAACAGGAAGTGAATACTTATTTATTTCGGAGTAGATGTTCATTGTGAAGTTAAATAACGTATGAAAATATGGAAAATATAAGTGTATGTATTCATCACACCGAACTTCCGGTTTGATGACGTCACAGTATTTGGAAGCAAAGGTGAACATTGTAATGGTATCGTTATTTGGGCTAAGATATATGACATGGATCAAATGATGGAATTAAGAAACACTATTTTATGTGCAGCTATAGGGGCGCCCTTTTGGATGACGACGTCATCACAGTGTTTTTTTTTGTGTCTGGCATTCCGCACTAAACACTTTCATAATATATATGTTTGTAGTAAAATGCTTCCATTTTCTAGTTATTTTTGGTTTTTATTGCACTTCCGGTAACAACGGAAGTAGAGGTCAAGCGGTTTTGTGTCCGGGAACACAAAATGTTTCTCATGGCGTAGTCTACAACCTCACGAAAAAAACGAACACGATACTCTATTTAGTTCAAAAGATATAACGCAAACTATTTTGTCAAAATTTGCCCTTAAATCGCTAGTAATTTGATACCTGATGACGTCATGATGCCGTAACAAAATTTAATTTATAACATCTTCGTAACATGGTACAAGTTTACACAAGGTTTTGAGATCATGCCGTTAACTGTTCGGAAGAAATTTTACTTTGTTTTGATTTCAGGCTAACATCTCCATTTTGAATTCACTCAACTTTGACCTTCCGGTAGACCCGGAAGTAAAGGTCAAGCGAGTTCACGTACACGACAAAAAATTTTAATCGATTAATGGTGTATCTGATTACAGAATACAAACATCATTGATTAGTTTGTTCAAGAGTTATAGATGAACGTAATTGGTCACTTTTTCAGCTAAAATCGCTTGTAATTTGACACCCGATGACGTAATAATGACGTCAGAGTAATATGCACCACTTGAGACGAGGGTCAATATATATTGAAAGTTACAAGTTCATATCATAAACCGTTTAGGAGAAAACCCGCGGAAACGTGCTGTGCAGAAAAAAAAAGAAAGAAAGAAAGAAAGAAAGAAAGATTAATCGCAACAAATCCAAAGAGTGGTCGGGTTGTGCCCGACCACTCAATAAGAAGTAGTTTTACTTACAGTTTTATGAATATTTCCGTTTTAGATGTCGCGCAAAAACCCAACACAATGGCACATCTGGAAAATTCGCGATTATGCGCCAGCGGGTATTAATGCCCGTTATCACGCGTCTAACCAATTTAGGCAAGTCCGAGCAGTGCATTTTGTACTAGAGCTCAGAACAGTCGTTTATACTGGTGTCTAGGATGTCTAGGCACAGTGAACCCTTTGATAATGAGCCCCCTCCCAGCTCCCCAAAGAAAAAAAAAGAAATAAGAAAAGAAAAGAAATTTCTAACAAACTTCTAGTTGGGTATCGGAGAAGACATATAATGATTTATCAGAATTTTTCAACTTTAAAGAAAATTGGGTTTGGGAGATTGGAATTTTCCGGGATTTATTTAAGTGCGACACATTTGGGAACACTCGACCGATTTTTGCCCAATTTCCGGGCGCTGGCGTTTTATAATTTCGGACTAAATTTCATGACACTAAAATTGTTCACAAAGGTTCAACAGCAAGAATTATTAAGGTAAAAGTACCAGTATTTTACTGAATGAAGGGAAAAAAATCCATACCCGATCACCACTTACCAGCCGCCAAACAAAAAATGTTTCACCTCACCTTGTGATTTCAACCAAGAGGAATCCAGGAAACAGCGGACATGCGAAAACAAATTAGTAAAAATGTGTTTTTAGAGCACATTTTGGATGCACATGTAGGCCTAGTGCAGATCTGAGTTGAAGCAGCCGGTCAAAACTGATTGAAGTGTCTGGAACAGCGGTACGTTATACACATGACATCGATAACCATTACATCGCATGAGCCGGCCAATGATAGTGCAATACGTCATTATGAATATTTATTTTCTCATGAATATTTAGTTTATTTCAATGGATACTTCAAATACGTCCAAAGATTGATCATTGCAACAGCGATCGTGCGCGGCCTAGCGGTTAAGAGTCTCATGTATCAAGCAAGCGTCCGAGGTTCGAATCTCAATGAAGTAAGTGACTGATTGATAAATAGAAATAAAGGAAAGGAGAGGGTGAGAGTAGAGGAGGGAAAGTGGAGGGAATAACCATAAAGGATGCAACTTTTGGCGCTTGAAAATTAATTGAAATAAGTGGTGATCGAGTATGGAATTTTTTCCCTGAATGAATTTGAAGTTTGTCAACAAAGAAGTTTGGCAACACTGCATGAGGAAAGTCGGTGGAACGTCGAAGTGCGCCACGTCTTTTGGGGAACACTATATAGCTACTCATAAAACATTGCAAACGGACTTCTGCAAATGGAAATCGTCCGAAAGCGTCTGGTGGCAAGAACACAAACTTACCGGGAAAGCTACTCATTCATAAATATGCAGAAGTTTAATACTGACTCACATCGTGGACAAAATAATGTCACTCAATCATCAGAGGGGAAAATGTACAAGCGCTTGGTTTTTTTCAGAGGTAGATTCATTGACAGTACCCCACAGGTTTACAAATGATTCCGCATCATTCCGGGTTGTGGAAACAACGCCCTCGGCCTCTGCGAGGTTAGATTTGAGTATCAGTCCATTTTTACGATGACAATTTACACTGTGCATCTATGTATTTGCTGTGCAGTCTGAAAGTACGCCACTTTGTCTTTGAGCTTCCGGACGCCTCCTCCGCGACCCTTCTATTAGTCTTGGCCAAAGACGCTAGTGATCCATAGTGGACGGTGAATAGTGCGCTCTCTAAAAATGGCACAACAATTAGATCAGCGGGCCCACCACTGATCTCTACTATGCTGATAACGCTTCGACCAAAATGCGTGTGCACAAGACCGTGACGCCCTCGCACACACGCGGCGGCCATTTTGAAGCGCCCTCAAAAGCCCCACAACGCACGGATCCGTATATAAAAAGCACAGAATTACAATAGTTTAGGAAGCGATGTTGGACCACCGAACACGTTTTTATTTATTCATTTTGCTCGAAGTGTTATTTTCCTCATGTAAATATTTGTTCAAATATATAATTTTATTCCACGACTTTGCATATATTTTTACGTGGCCAGAGGGAGTGTCAAAATGGCGTCCAGTGACTTCAGCCCCACGGCCCGAAGTGCTATCTAAGTCAGTATAATAGAGATCAGTGGGTCCACTTGCACTAAACGTCTTGGCCATTTCGTTTCAGCGGTTTAACTTTGTCTTTATTTTCTCCGTAGGCTCCCCTAAGGAACCAATCAGCGATCGGGACTTGGCAGTTCAATGGCTCGCCCAATCGACGGTTGTAAACATACACGTCCTGCGGTACGTTATCGAGCATCATACCAGCGCTTTCCTAGGGAACCAATCAACGATCGAGATACTGCGGCGATCATACACGGAGCTATATTAAGGTTTGTTCGAATTTATACAGACGTTGTTATTGACATAAATGACCCCGCCCCCATTGCTACGAAATAACCAAGACGTTAGTTGGAGAAAGTAAGAAAAAACCCAATTATGCAAGGCGCTACACAACAATGAAACTATTGTTCTTGATCACTGACGTCTTGGGCCAAGACTACACTTCAATGGGCATTTTACACAGGGTTGTCCTTTCTCTTGCTATAATTTTGGACATAATGATTTCTCTCAACCGTAATAATCACAAGAAACATTCGTGTTGGAATTTTATCTTGGCATTCCACAAGAACAATAGATGAGAAATCGACCGGAGATGGGAAAAAACCATAGAGCTACATTAAATTATTTAGTAATTTAATATAGCTCTATGGTAAAAACGTATTTTACTTACGACCTTTCACATCCAGCAATTTCGTACCTATGTACATGGGCGTCGCCAGGATTTTATCTAGAGGGGGGGGGGGGGCAAAACATTTTTTTGCCAAAAAATGCTTGTATTTCTCAACACATTCTCGATTTATCAGTTTTAGAGGGGGGCAGGGACATTTTGCCCCCCCCCCAACTCATTAAATTTACACCACTTTGTCTTCGCGCCTCTTGTTCTTTTTTTTTCTTTTCTTTTTTTTCTTCCTTTTTTTTTTGGGTTGCTTTTCCAGGGGGGGGGGGGGGGCAAGTGCCCCCCCCCCCCCCCCCCCCCCCTCGCGACGCCCATGCCTATGTATCCTTGTTCCATCACGTTTGCATTCATATCGCGTAAATTGTGTTAGCAGAACGAAAATAACAACGACGCGAAGATTTACCTACCGATGGGTTCTAGATTTAGTCGGGCTTGTTTAAATTCAGTTCTTATCAACGATCACTTTAGATTTCTTTGTAAATGATGAGATCCTCAAGTATATTCAAAAAACTTGTTTGTCCTGAAAGACATTTTATTCTCTTCTACAAGTTTAAGTTTTCAACCGATGATGACCGCCAAAAATTATTTCATACATTTTCATCTTTGCACGAGTATAAGGAGTTCCACAAGTCCACATGTATTCCAAGCTTTTTGAAACTCAGAGGTCAATTTGTGGGTTACAGACCGATAGTCCGAAGGTTCGATAGTCCGAAGGTTCTTTAGTCCGAAGGGTCATTAGTCCGAAGGTTCGATAATCCGAAGGTTCGATAGTCCGAAGGGCCCATTAGTCCGAAAATAGAATAAGGTTAATTAATCCGAAGGTTCGATAGTCCGAATAGACGATAGGGTTCGATAGTCCGAATCGACAATAAGGTTCGATAGTCCGAAATGAGAATAAGGTTCGATAGTCCGAATTGAGAATAAGGTTCGATAGTCCGAATGGGCAATACGGCTCGTCAGTATGACACTTCGGACTATCGGACCTTGTTCTCAATTCGGACTATCGGACCTTGTTGTCGATTCGGACTATCGGACCTTATTGGCAATTCGGACTATCGGAGCTTATAGTCTTTTCGGACTATCCGTATCGATCCTTATTGTCAATTCGGAATAATGAACCTTCGGACTATTGAACCTTATTTTCGCTTAGGACTATTGAACCTTCGGACTGATTAACCTTATTCTAAACTCGGACTACCGAACCTTCGGATAAATGAACCTTCGGACTAATGAACCTTTGGATTAATGAACCTTCGGAATATTGCATCAAATGTTCGGATTAACGAACCTTATTTTATTTTCGGACTAACGAACCCCCTCTTATGGAAATTTTGTGCATTCGGACTATCGAACCTTCGGATTAAAGAACCTTCGGACTATCGGTCCTTCAGACTATCGGGCGGCCCCCCAATTTGTGGGTGACTAGTCAAGCGTTTCCCTGTATTCCCTTAGCCGGCTACCTGGTGGGATAGATGAGCCACGGGTATTGTGCAGGGATATGCTAATAACAATTTTACAGATACCTTTTTTTCGAGGGGGACCTTTTATCTAAAGAATGTCTCTAGGCCTCCACGCCTGTCAGTCACGTTTGCCATGTGTATATAACTATAAGCGAGTGTCATTCTGGTGCAAGCGTACAGTTTATATATGTCTATAGGTCTGATTCAAAACTAATTTTGTATCGACATGTATATTTTACCTAAAGGAATGAAATGTAAAAAATCAAAGCGTACATAATCGCAAATAAACTGCGACGTCATCATGAAACATTCGTCAAAACATTCTCATACACTGAGATGTATCAACTCTCAGTTAACTGTAGGTACAAATATTACCCGCGGTGACGTCACAAGCATGTTGCGGTTACTGTTGTATGCATGAATTACGAAACATTTCATAACGTTGCAGACATACTTAAAGAGCTGTAAAGCCAACAAAGTACATTGTAATCGTAATCGGCAAGTAAAGTTTGGTCAGCGTGTTGAGCTGCTATGCAAAACTAGCATACCAGTTCATATACACGGAGTCTTTCTCATAATAGTGAGAATCCAAGTTCACAAGGATATTGATGCCCGACTCACCCCCTCATCTTCACCAATAATGGTGAACTGCAATGTATGGTGCCTGGACGAGGCCCTCTTCCAAATTTTCACTAAAGTAATGAACGAAAGCCAGTTTAGTGTCACTCATCCAAAATTCGAAGAATTCCGTCTCCACATCGCGATGAAACATAATCCCTCTCAAAATGTTCACAACTTGGACGCCACTCTCTGTGTTAATCATCCACAATGAGCTGGCACCTGTCACCTTATCACAAGCAATCAATTTATTACCGCGGACACAACTCGAGTGCATCGTAGGTGTACTATCTCCAGCGGTCTTGGTCTCCCCAATGCACTTGCCCTCTAGGTTACAGACCCTAAGATTACCGTAATCTGACTGTGCCACGAGAAACTCACCAGTAAACGCACATGAAAGAGTTATTTCATCATCTGCGTCATCATCACAGCCTAAAGGAATGTTGAATGTCTTGCAGCACTCCCCTGATTTCACGTCATACATTTCTACTCTGTTGTCCCTATCACCAACGATGAGATTTCCGTTGCTGAGATGGCAGTATGTCAACGCCTCTACAAACTCACCCATCCGATGCGATGGACCTATGACATGCATACATACACCGCTCTGTGCATTCCATAACCGAATTGTTCGGTCAACATAAACAGCGGCTACCGTTTTATTCCGATAATCTACGTCTTCTAACAAAATATCTTTGGAATCGTCCGTCTCTCTGCGAAAAAGAAAACGAAGACCACTATTTAATGAACACCAAACTCGGATGTCACTGTCCTCACATGTGTCATAGCTGCCATCGCCAGGCCTAGGCCGAGCGACACTGACAATTGTGTCATCGTCAATAAACAATTTGGATACTGGAAGTCGATGACGAGACATAACCTGCAGTTGTTGCCCTGTTTTGGCAGAGTATGTACGAATCATCCCATCTCTACAACCTACAGCTATGGTGCCATTTCCAATTTTCAAACATTCGCTTTTGTCACAGATGTCTACGTGTATGGTGTGTTGTAGTTTCCCACTGTACATATCCCACACCATGACTGTGCCATTCGAAACTCCTCCTGCTAGGTAGGTACCCTCTCCATGTAGATTATATATCTGTAATTGACTCGTAGAATTCCATGAGGGACTGTATAGACCAGCACATCCCTCCGAGCCAAACTCGAAAGAGACAACGTGGTAACGATTATTCCTCCAGTTCCTTTCGAGATGATGTGCTTTCATGTAGGCCGTCTTCCATGTGCACGTGTCCATCAGTCCAGGCCAGTCAGAACCACTAACAATGGTATCGAACGAGAAGTTCACATCTTTACCATTGCTCTGCTTGTCAACAGGAATGAATGCAGTGCTTTCGTCAAGGTCTTCAGCTCTACCAAAGTGCCTCAATCCTTCTGCTTGACAAAGAGGGTGCCACAGAACATCATGATTGGCTGCTTCTCTCCAAGATTTATTGCACAACGCAACATGACAAAGATCTTTGGGCGTTAGATATTGCAGAACTTTATCCAGTATTTCATTTGGCAGACAAGCAAATTCCACTCGCTGAAGGTAGGATGCCATCGCTCACCAACTGTGAAAGAAAGAAATATATGAAATAGATATAAAACAGATGCCTGGGGATAGTTTGTTATTATTCAAGAGGATGATATGTTTTAAATGTATTCCCAGGGTATGTTTATATGGGACTAGCAGAAAGTGCACTACAAACAGTTCTATAAACTGGTGTTGTTGCTTATCTGCCTTGCATACCTGATTCTGATGTTCATACTCACACCCTGAGTGCAATCGTTCAATTGCGTGTCATTATACCTTTGACGTTAATGCTATTTCAGCTTTTTATTGCCGGGTGTTAGACTTAATAGATACATTGTGTAATGTGAAAACTCTCAACGAGGTCTGTCTGATCGGAGATGAATCACGGGCAGTGCCTCAAATTATCCTAAAGATGATACGGCAAAGCTACACAATGAACTCGATAGAAACTAGAAAGCACTGAGAACGCAAACCTCTGCCAAACCTGAACATTCTCCCGCCATATTGTCAGTACACCCAATAGAAATATATTCACTGGACTTCCATATTTTATTGCACATTCCCTACTCCTCCATAGTATAAAATGGTCGAGTCCATTGACCTGTTGGTTTTAATGGTGTGTGCGCTATGCACTCATAGACTGCACGCTGCGTTACCTACACACGTCTCTACACATAGCATATTCGCACATACAAAATGGCGAGGAATCCTTTAAAAAAATCCTGCATCCAGACGCAGATCCGGATCACTTCCATAATCTAATCGATCTGTACTTGTACAAAGGACCAATTTTCATGAAAATCCGTCCACTACATGAAAATCCGTCCACAACTTTTGGAGTTATCTTGATAAATAATGAAAGGTTTGCGGAAACACCATGTGCGAATAATTTCTCAACTAAGAGAATGGTTCTGAAAAGAACCAGAGTTATAAACTCGACGTTCCGGTCAGTATGCTCTGACCGTCTTCAGGAGAGTCAGAGCATACTGACCGGAACGTCGAGTTTATAACTCTGGTTCTTTTCAGAACCATTCTCTTAGTTGAGAAATTATTCGCACATGGTGTTTCCGCAAACCTTTCATTAGTTAGTATCTCCACCATGCAAAGCCTCAAATCTTACTTAGTTATCTTGTTAACGGACAAACCAACAAACCAACGCTGATGAAAACATAACCTCTTTGGCGGAGGTAATAGACCATTATCGTGTTGCGGCCATCTTGATTTTTTTGTGCATTGTCGAACTTTGGAACGCACATCGGCTGATACTCATACCCAGTACGTAGTACCTTTGTTGGACCTTGTGTAGTATCTTGCGCACTCCTTGGTGACCTACGGTCTTGCTTTCATGGAGTTCATCCTGGACACTTTCATTTAGGCATTGCATTGCCTCCCGTCATCCGATTCAAAGCGTCGACATAGAACTACTTGTTTGCATATTGGCCCGATAGGTCTTGGTTGGTGCCGACTCAGTGGAGAGTGTTTCCCACTCTGGTCTGTTCCCTCCTTTCCCCTTAAACTCTCATGATAAGCCCATAAATCGAATTACTGTTTCTCCCTCAGTCATGATAAGCCCATAAATCGAAGGATCATCTAACTGTTTCTCCCTCAGTTCCTTCGACGTCCAGAACTCCCTGTTGCATCCGGATCGAGTTTGCATTCTTGACCGAGTCAAAGCCATCCAGGACTCTGCCAGAACACTGCTTGTTCCTGTAGGTCTTTGCTGAACCTCTGCTGGTTCTACATCGCCCAAATCTGGCAAACTTCGGACAGGTTGCTCTATCCTGGTCCCCCTGGTGATGACATGAACCTTGTCTAAAGGTAGGCACGTGTGGTCTAGCAGTAGAGCACAGGATTTATGATCGTGAGGTTGTGTGTTCGAGCCCCGCCGTGGCCATGCGCGTTGTGCCCTTGAGTAAGACGCTTTACCTCAATTGCTCCTCTCAACCCAGAGGTTAAATGGGGGGAAGGTAACAGACTCGTGGAGGAGGTATGGGCAGCAGCATATGAGTCTGGCCCAATCGCCAATGAAAGAGAGAACACAGATTCGTCCCCTTTACCTTTTTTTTTTTTTTTTTTTTTTAACTTTTCTGATGAGAAGAAATTTCCCAACTGTTCTCTTCTGCAGGAAAGGTTTATTTGGCGTCACCATTCCCCGTCGGACTCCCTCTATCTCGTTCACTACCTCCGGCCTGGGTTCCTTTACCCTGACACCAACATTCGTCTTCCTCTCCGCGGATCTTACTGGTGACCACACAGGAGGTGAGGAGGGTGTCACCGCAGGGTGTAGCCGAATGCCGGCTCTGCTGATCACCCTTGCCGGTGTTGCCTTAAAGTATCCCATACTCTCTTCCATCATCCTGTCTCTGCCGTCCATTGTTGCTTCTACCAGCTATTCTCCATAATACGTCCACTGCTGAATTCTGCTATCCGCAAGTCACTGCTTCAGGTGGATCAGTCCTGATCCTTTCACCCTGTGGTTCCTGTCACGTTGCCATCGGTGAGTCTTACCGCTGCCACCAATGTAAAGTGCGTCAGTTTTGAACGGAGCATACATGTACATGTACAGTACATCATACACGCCATCATACTGTACTGCTTGTGGATGCATGTACCGTGTAAGGTCAGCTACGTCCGCAAAGAGAATAGCTACTATGTGTGCGACGTGAAACCACGTTGTTTACCAAGAATAGTTTCCATCTCTTCAGATTATGCATGTCCGGGAACCAGACTATTTACCAACTGTTTTGGGACATATTATGCCAGCTTCTCAAAAAGTCATATTTTTGAAGAAACAATGTGAACTTGCCGAAGTAAAATACCTAAATACTTTCATATATTAATAACATAAGGTACTGAACACAATCCCATTTTACTGAATTACAAAATAAAACATTGCATTAGAGTCCGACCCTCCTTCAAGTCCAAAACAAAAAATGAGATCACAGAATTAAAAAGGGACGCCCTTACACCATTTAACAATGGGACTTTTTGCCTCCAACTCTTTATTGCAGAATAACCAGCGTCAATCTTATCAATGCTTGTTTCAGCTTGACTGACAATGACATGTAAGAATTCGATTATTTTGATGACAACAATTTCTTTTAACATGTCTTTTTAAAGGTACACTACATTTTTTCGTCATTGCATTTCATAATTATCTTTAAACCATTTAGTAAGCTTTTTCACAATAATTCGTTCAGATATTTTTCGGATATCTGCAAATGGTCAGCTCTATCTTCAAATGTGCGCCCCCCCCCCAAAAAAAAATAGGGTAGGAGCTATCAAAATAGGGTAGGTAGGGTAACCTGGGGCAGAACTATTATTTTTTACCTAATCAATATAACTTTTTAATGTGCCCTGTACTTACTTTTGTTCCCACCTGAATTTATGACAATTTCCATTTAAAGTTAAACCAATCCTGTTTCGCGGATGATTCATTAAGCCTGGGCTGCCATGTAACTGAATCAAACTACACGTACGACTGAACTGAGAAAGTTGTTCGGATTTGGGAATGCACGTTTATATACTTCTTGTATTCAACACACAATGATGTAAGCTGTACTGTACGAACTATGAAGTGCCCTTTGCCCCGGCGGCCTTCGTACGTACATGTCGTAACGCCGGCTCTTTTGATACCGTTGCAAACGAATATCGTCTGGAGCGCCTGGTGGCAAAAACACACATTTATCGGGAAAGTTTATCTTTTAATAATATGCGGAGGTTACTCACTTATATTTTGTTGACAAAATAATATCACTCAATCATCAGAGGGGGAAACTTCAAGCGCTTGTTACCAGAGGTAATAACATTGACAACATGTTTCGTTTTACAGGTTTACATACACACGATTCCGTTGCGTAAACAGCGCCCTCTCTGTGAACTTAGACTTGTGTATCAGTCTATAATGATATACAATCTGTACTATTGTCGAGTTTCGGTTCGAAAAGAAAACAATTCTATAAAATCATGTTTTAAACAATAAAAAAGTTACTCACTTTTCAATGAGACATCAACGGACAAAGGATCGCCCACGTTAATTGTCAAATGATGACCTTTCAGTTATCGTGCACAACTTATGGGTGTATCGAAAATGCGTCCAGTACCAACCTCGTCCCCAGGGCTTGCTCTATTTTCAACCTCGTTGAAAGCCCTGGAATGGAAATTGCTTCCTGTATGTATCCTGACTCGATACCGCAATTAGCAAGAAATGGAACTATATCGTATACTTGGTGTTGTTATTTCCAACGTGTATTACATGTTTTCACGTTCAGTATTTATATTACGTCAACACCCTCTCGAAAATAATCTTTCCTTTCGCTCGCACCCCCGCCCTGCAAACAGGACGCTGGGATACTCTGATGAATTCACGCTCTGATTGGTTGGATTTTGCGTGACCAGTGACCTGCGTGTCATCACGGTTATGACTCTGCAAGGTTTGAAACGGCCGTTAAGAGTTTAATAAGACTGATTCGTTACTCTTTTATTCCAGTTAGAGATGTTTTTTTTCGTTGAAAAGCGTAATAATGTAGGAAATTCTGTAAACCTTATCTGTGTTGTAAATTTACAATTCCCGTCACTTGCTCGTGCTCCGTTTCGAATCACGAATGGTCGGATTTCATTATGCGACCCTCAAAATTGTGTCCACATGGTCCGCCATGAAACAGAAATCACACCCGGTATGGTTATGTGCGCATTTCAGAGGGAAAATTTCGGATAGCATTTGCGCACATTGTCTAACTGCGGTCTTGAACAGCTGCAGTCAGGTACTTTATACATAGGTCATAGGCCACTTCCTGCACAAGATTATGTGAACTTGAGCTCATCAGCTGTTTCGCGTGAACAGATTTGCTGATTAATTAGGCAAGACCACGCCTCTTGACCTCCTAGATTTTGACCAATCAGTGAGTGCTTTTTATACCCGGTCTTCGGTCATTCACCCATTGCGCGTCATAGACAACGGATAATAAAAATGTGTCACGCGCTCTGTGTCATGTGTTGCGCGATATCGCGCCCGGCCTGTTGTATTACAAA